GTATCACGGTATTCAGTGCTCAAACTTTATTTTTAAACGGTTGTATGTAACCAGACATGCACCTTTCATAGACGCGTATAGCTCTGGTTCTTGTAACTCAACTGTCTGTGAATTTCCGTGTGCATTTGTTGAGATATTTGCCGCATTTGCTGCAGAAAAATAAGAAAGAAAAACTGATCATTCGGTATCAGCTTACAGCCTAGCACCAGGTCTGTGAAGTTACAGAAATTGAATGGGAAAATGGGAAAAACTGAGGAATGTGCAGACTGTATAATTATTATAACCTGGTGGATCGCTTGGTAAGTCTGGAATTGTATTCATGTACATTTCTTCTGCTCCGCTCTGATTGGATGTTTGACTGACATTGGAACGAGGATTGCCGTCCATGTCAAAATCATCCGCAAGTTCATCTTCTAAAAGAAATAACATTTAATGGTAAATGATGTTCAAGAAATCGATGATGGTTGTCTTTGACCGTTATCTCACAACTGTGACCATATAGTTACAGATTTTGACTTCTTAAATATTCACAAAATTTGGCAATTTGTCATTCACGTTATCATATCATTATTATCAAAATGACTTGTATTTAACAATTAAACCTCGAGGTTGAGTGGACTACGAGCTAATAGCCCATTAGGCCGAGTCCGCGAGGCGGAAGGGCTATTAGCTCGTAGTCCACGAGGCCGAGAGGTCTAATTGTTTTAGTATAAACCATACTAATCGGTCAAATAATGAAAACAAATTGAAATATCCTTAAAATCATTTAATAATGAGATGCCGCCATTTTGATTTTCTCGCGAGTGGTCTATTACAAATTAGACCATTAGTAGAGTAGCCAATCACAGCGCAGTATGAGTGATAGACCATCAGTATGTTTATACTAAAAGTCTCATATTCTGAGATAGCTAGCCAATGACAGCACACGTTCTTCTGAGGTTTTGAATCAAGTATATGAAAATATACTATGCTGACGTCCTAAGGTGAAGAAGTGTTGAATTGTTCAAATTAATGATTTGAAGTATGAAACTTGACAGGATTATTGATTTCCCCGAACTGAACAATTCTGGATATGGAGCCAGTCCGAAATCACACTTGATGGGGAATACTGAGCATGCTCTAACATCGAAACGAGGCTCAAGTGAAATAAGTAACTAAAGTATGAAAAGAATTTTTCTCCATAAATTCAATATTTTATGATAACAATAATTAGACATCCAGGTTAGTAGATGGTTGGATTCAGTACATCTCGCTGGTAAATCAAAACACATGACAAACATATTATAAAATCATTCTAAGACTTAATGCAAGTAAAAAGTTAGAAAGATTTGTGGATTGTGGACAAGAGGGAAAAATCAGTTTTTCACCACAGGGATCCCACAAATTTGATAAAATCATCCAGTAATGCAGTACCAATTGAAACCTGCTTTTTGATTGCTCCTTAAGTACAGCACCACTATTGTTAGGTTARBYTYYKTTATATTGTTGGAAGACTTATCTATTGTTTGTCCATTGTTTTCTCAACCTATCATGAGACCCGTTCCGAGCGGTGCTACCTGGCTCAAATCATGCCCTTATAGTTCACGTGACTAACAAGTATCAATTGATATGTAAGGAGAGAAACCTTCTGAGCCCTTCTTTATAGTAAGGGAAATAACTTACTGACGTTTCGGACGTTTCGGACGTTAATCCTTCTTTACTCCGACGAAGGATTAACGTCCGAAACGTCAGAAAGTTATTTGCCATACTTTTTTACGGTGTTAAATTTATCTTTTTATACAACTGTTTCTTTAGAAACACCGACGCAGCTCAAACTAGCTTACCACTACTTCCCACCACCTTCTTTATAGGCTTTGTTGGATCAAATTAGAGGAAGCAAAAAAGCTACTTACTGGAATTTTGAGTTGCGTTGACTCTTTGCCTGTCGAGTAAAAAAACCCTCAATGCTTTGTTCCCTTGAGGAAATGAAATAAGTGTACATGTTTCGACCATCTTTACACTTTTTTCAAAGTTTTTCATTATGGTTTATATTAATATTTGATTAGATCGTAATATAGCATATCGTAATAGCATACCAATTTAACCCTTTTACCGCCGAATAATTGTGGTTAAATTTGACTGTTTTTAAGGCAGAATGATTTAAAAATGATTTCGGGACTAATCTTAAGGTTGTCAAGGAAACAGCTGCTGTTCGTGATAACTGAAGGCTTACTTTTGCAAGGGATGCCTGTAAGATTTTTGCTCGTGGCTTTGACTAGCAATCAGCTCGTTCAAAACACAGGAAAAATCGGTTTTTAGGTGTTTTTGAAGTCAAGTTCTCGCACAAGAGCCCCTARAMTTGCATCATAAAGCTTGACTATTGTGGCAGAAGCGATCTTCTGGAAGAAATCAGAAGTGGGAAGCGATTTTACGAAGAAAATGKCGAGCAACCGTTGATTTGTGTAAAATGGCGCCATTTAAGTGAAGTCGTCTCCCTGGCTGTCTTGTGCTTGACTTCGCAACCTACCGTGTATATTTTTGCATGTTTTGGCTTCTAAAAAGAGGAATCTACTTGAAATTTTCCTGGTAGGAGCGAATGACTCGACACTTAAAGAAAAGTTTAAAATGGTAGGTGTGGGGTACTTTCTGTCCAAAAAATTCACCGTTACCCAGAATTCTTTGCAAGCGAAGTTCAAGGAAACACTTGTCTGAACTTTCTGAACTTTCTTTCAAATGTTGTATTTTGGCATGATTGAGGGATTTTTTGCAATTTTTTTTTTTTATTGAAAATATATTTAGCCTTTTTCTAGTGTTCTTGTCTAACGTCGAAAAGCGTGCAGCCAGATTTCGCCCTCAATTAAGGGACCACATTAACCACAAAGAAACCCTATGGTKCTTACTTTATGAATTAGCAGCTGTATAATTTCACGGACAACCCAACCAAAACATAAKTAGTTCATTTGCTATGCAATTAATAGAATAATATTTTTTTAAAGAGAGGCATACGTCGACGTCGACAAATGTCGACAATGGCGGTGAAAGGGTTAAGCAAACTCTGCTTATAAGAAATGGAAAGTTTTGCGGAGAAGTCGAGATTACATGAAAATTGTTGATAGCATTCTACAGTACTTACCGAGATTTCTGTCTCACTTTCCTATATATTAGCACCACTATAAGAACGAGAACAACAACTCCAAGAAAAATAACAAGGGGTCCCACTATGAGCCCTTTTATTGAGGAAGATTTCTGGTGGATTATAATCAAATAGTATTCATTAGGAGTAACTCGACTATATATCACATTATTCAACTATCCGAGATATTAATTGATATATAGCTATTTCAAAAAAGGTTGTCGGATAAAATGGCGAATGTCTATGGTCGAACGGCGATTGCACGACCGAAAGTAGTCTCGGGTTTGCTAGCTGATTTATACTGTAAGATTGTCTGTGGTAACAAGGGGCCGTTTTGCATGAGCATGCGCGCAACCGCTGCGTTATAACGACCATGGGCTCTAGAATACGGGTAGAATAACATTGTAGTAGCTGCGGAAGCTTCGATTCTGAACATAATTGATGTTTTTACTTATCTTCCACATTTTTCCAAACAAAACCAAGTAGATATATTTACAATGCACACGAATATCTTTCAAACTTTATATAAATTACTGTGAGTCYCGGGCTAGATTTATAACACGAAGCCACTTTGTACCGTTAAAATGTAGTGAATTATTTGGGCACACCTTTAGCAATAATAAATTCCTAAGATGTGAATCGATTGCACTGCAATAGTTTATTTCATAACTTATAATGATACAGCTATAAAACTACACATAGATATTTATGATAACTTGATTCAAACAAGCTCAACTCTKCAGCCAAAAGAATGCTAAATTTGTCGTAAGTGCTCAACAGCACGTAAGAATTTGCAGAATTAACACCGTTCCACATTTTTCATAGACAAGAAAACATTATCAAACCATTTGCAAAGCATAAGTCTTGATATTGGAAGCCTTATTCTAATGAGTCCTGGTGGTATATAAAAGGAAAGTAGTATTTCATGTAACAGTTAATAATATTTAAGCGTAAATATTGTACACTTCAAGAAACTGTCTTTCGAACATTTCGAGGTCGATGTTACTAAACAACGCCTAATTATATTACTCCATGTGTACATTTACCATTTACTTCATGACCTGCGTTGAATCTTGACCAGCACTCAGCAAAAACTGGAATAGTAGTTGCGTATATAAACCACTGCAGCCTCCGATATTGTAAACATAAAGTCATTAATATCAACATTTCTTAAATAAGATTTTAAACGGTCCCAATCAGTCCAATAACGCCAGTGTTTTTCCTCGTTGTAGGTTACACTATTTATGAGTGTTCTTGAGTCATGACAGAACATTTCAGGGTCAAAAACAGCCAAAAACATTTTTGGAAATTGTCCTTCGTGTCGTTGTAATTTCTCGTTTGAAGTGAATCACTAATGAATTTCAATGAATTTTCAACAGACTGGCGCATGCGCACGCCAAACGGCCCCTTGTTGTCTGTGGTGAACATTGGCTCCATTTAGTCTCCATTTCAATGTAATGTGAATCCAATAAGTGAAATTTTGTTTATCAAAATAGTGTGATCATAGTTCCTTTCTGTCGTGCAATTTCCCTTCGACAATCGCCGTTCGCCGTTCTCCCCGAAACATGAAGTTTTTTTGAAATAGCTGTATACAATAAAGCAGAATATACAATCAAAACGTACTTCTTACAATGAATAACTATCAAATGTATGTTAATGGTGTGAGGGGTTGATTAGAAATACAAAATACAGGAATATATATGGATGTTGTCACTGCAAATCCGTTCTAGCTGATACTTCGTTGCTCTTGTAGCTATAAAAAGGCATTCCAGCTAGAGTAACGTACGATCATATCAGGTTGACAAAAATAGACTACATTGCCTGATTGCGTAGGTTCCCCTCCCCGGGTGGGGAGAAGATAAAAAAAAACCAAACTTGGGTGGGGTTGTGCCGCTGGGAACTCAAAACCCTGACCCTGTTCCAGGGTGAAATCGCCGAAAACTATACCCTGTTCCAGAGAAAATCCAGGACTAGCTTGCGTGTAGACCGAATTTTTACCCCGTAAATTTGTACTCAGCATCAATAATTCCGGAATTAAACCCTGACCCTGTTTCAGAGAAAAATCGTTGCAATGAATACCCTGTTTTAGAGTAAAATCGCTAAAACGATACCCTGTTCAAGAGTAAAATCGCTGAAAACGATACCCTGGTTGGCGGCACGTCCCCATATAGCAAATATAGGGTAGTGCGAACCCCCCCCCCCTCCCTCGCCGGGTGTAGGTCATTCATGTTTCAGCATCCTCTTTAACAAGTCTATATGAACATCAGTTTGTTTTCGTGGTTATGGGAATTATTATGATAGATAGATAAATAAATTCTACCAGAACAAATCTACCAATACCTCGGTTTTATTCCTCTTCCTATGATTTGAAGGCGGTGAACTGGACCACGTAGGAGACTGATTGACTGCAGGTCATTAACGTATAACAGTAGAGTTAATAATTCAATATAAACATATCCATTCGTCATTAATAATAGTTACTGTAGTCCTAATACTGTTTTCTTACTTATTCAAATTGTACTTCATGAACTTTGATAGTGCCAGTTTCAATATTTTTTTGAATAAAAGACACGGAAGTTGTCAGTTTGTAGCAAAAGCTGAATGTGCAGGTGTTAAGTAGATAATTAACAGACTATTGACATACAGTATATTATCCTTTTAGTCGTATCGTGTTACACTTCTTTAGAGTAATCACTCGAGCAACACATGTGATATAGTTTTTACGTAACTTGATGGAATAAACGT